ACCCTAAATCCCAAATACACCCTGGATTCATCAACCCTAAACCCTAAATACACCCTGAACCCCGGCCTTGCCCCTGCTTCTGATTTCCAGCACTGCTCCGAATCCTCGGATGCAGCTGGGGATTATTCCGCCAAGCATGGGGATTGAGGGTTTTGGGGTCTGGAGATAAAGGGTTTTGTGGTCTTTGTTTTATCACCTCTTTCCCTTCGCCTGAGAAGGTGTCCGGAATAGGGTTTTGGGGGCTGAAGATTAGGGTTCAGGGTTCTGGGGATGGGGTTTAGGATGGTTAAGGCTTTCAGGGTCTAGGGCTACATGGCAGGTTTCAATACTCGCCTGAGGGGCGTTGGGCTTGGGATTTACAGTCTTTGAGTGGGGAGGGGCGGGCACCTGTTCTGGGGGTTGTTTGAACTTCGGGCCGTTAGGACTTGCATGAGGATCTTCAGCTGCCGTCAGGTTGCTCCCGTTCAGCCCGCTGTAATGGAAGCTAGATTATGACAAGGGCTCCTTGAAGCCAATGTGGGGCTCCTGGCCTATTCGAAGAGGCTTTGATGGTAGATTCTCCCACATACCTAGGGGAGCTTTGGCACCCAGTGCGTCAGCTTCAATTGTTTCCTGGGTAGATGCGACCAGCGCCTGCCGACAAGCGCAGCAGAAGCGGGCGGAGACAAATTGCGGCGGCGAAACCCTAAACCCTACACCCTAAACCCTAAACCCTAAACCCCAAACCCCTAAACTCCTAAATCCAGAGCCGGGAACCGGACTCGGGCCCCTCAACCTACTGTAGGGGCCTCAATAATTAGAATAAGGGTGTTGGGGTATATTATACTATTCTGTAGTAATAATCTTAATAATCATAATAATGAGGAACCTCCAAAACAGTATGAGCAATTTCAGGGCCCTATATCCCCGAGGCCTAGACTGCTAAAAACCTGAACAAGAAATCCTGGCCCCTGGTAGCCAAACGCCCGAACACCAAACACATGAAATAGATACCAATACTATTCCTTCAGGCTCCTTATTCTAGGATCCAGGAGTATTCTATACCTTCAGGCTCCTTATTACATGATATAGTAGTATTCTATACCCCATAACCATTCTAATTATCAAGCTCCCGGTACGAAACTCGGGGAAGACTGAGTCTGGTGCCGGGAGAGCAGGGAGGATGCAGCCGCGCGGTAGCGACTGAAGCGAGGTTTCACGACGGTTCGTGATTTCGTTTTCCAGGCTTTATAGGGTTTGAGGGCTTCAACAGCCTCTAAGTGTTTAAGGTAAACCTTCCTAGCATTTGAACTCGCCCCGCCCCTCTCAACCCCAAATTTCGCACAATGCTTGCTCATTTCTCCCTCGAGCCCTGTACCAGAACCCTCAGTAGCCCTCATCGCACGCCCAAAGCTCTCAAATCAGACAGCCCCCGTCCGTGGCGTGGCTTGCGCACAATCGGCGCAGCCTCTCCGAACTCCAAGAGCGAGCCGGCGAGGCCTCAGAGGCAGCGGGTTGTTTAAGGCGTGGGTCTGTTTCGATGTCGGGGTTTCGGAGGTCGCTTGAGATTGAGGTCCATCGCAACGGCTGGAAGAGTCGAAGAGGGGGCTGGGGCTTGCAGTTGGTGCCCAGCAAATCTGCTCTCCCGGCGCTGATCTCAGAGTTAAGACAGTCAGCACCCTAGTTCTTATTTCCACGCACAAGCTCCAGCACCCAGGAGGCAAGATCCCAACCCCGTCACCACGAGTTGCCGGCAAAAGCGTCTTGGCTCCACAGAGGCTGTGCTTGAGCACCCGCGGTCTTCAAAGCCTGTAGGAAAGGGGAAGAGAAACAATCCAGCAGGTTTGGGCCGGTTTGGGGCAGACTAGAAGAGAAGCTATGATTCCCAAGTCTTGAGCTCGAGTATAAGTTTGATTTTTTGGAGTTGCTCGGCTTGGTGCTGAAAGCAGTAGCACACGGGCAATCCTGCATGGGAAACACAAGCAGAGAAGTGCCAAAAGAGGCAGCTACCAAAACAAACCAAGCTCCTTGGACCCATGCAAACAAATAATAATAATAATAATAACAACAATAATAATAACAATAATAATAATACTCTAATACAATAGAATATATTTCCCATTTAAAGTAACGTGGTGAGCTCGAACCTAGCCCTAAACCTTCAAACTCTGCCTCAGTCTGCCTCTGCAAAACATTTCCTTCACTGCAGATGTCAAGCTCTTAAGAGTTGCCCCACATCTGCGCTTTACAACCATTTCAACTCAGAGGCGGATTGAACACCATCCCATCTACATTAGTCCCGCAATGCCTGGAGCCCGGAAACCATGTTCAGGGCTTGACAACGCAAGTTGCAACTTATTACGCCAGATGTCAACCCACTCCAGCTAGTGTCTGGATGTCTGCAATAGAGCACGAGTTATAGTGCGGAGTGTACTTCATCCTACCAAACTGAGTAAGACTGCCCGGAAACCCTAAACCCTAAACCCTAAACAGCAGGGCCTCCGATCCCTGAAGATCGAGCAGGCACAGCAGAATGGCTCCCAAGGCCTCCCCAGACACAAGACGGCTTCAGGGTTTAGGGTTTAGGGTTTAGGGTTTCGCTTCGCGGGCCGTAGGGGGGTTTTGGACGGACAGGTTTAGGGCTCTGAAGGATCGGGTGATGTAGGGTTTAGGGTTTAGGGTGTAATATAAAGTAAGGCCCGGGGCCGATTATACTACATAATGATAACAAGGGACCCCCAAAATAGTATTGGTATAATTATTCAGGCCCCTAGATTAGATGATTTGAGCTGATCGATCAAGGCTTCAGAGGCCTGAAAGGGCCCCTGGAGGGGCAGAGACTGTCGGGAGGGGACAGGAAAGGGTTGCCTGCATCACAACCAAGTGTAGAAAGAGCCTCGAAGTCTGTGATTAGACTATAAAGCAAGCGCAACAAACTCCTGGCTATCTGAAAATATGGGGGAGAACACTTTCAGAAAGTCTCTGAATCAAGCCAGGCTTGCAGAACAAACAGGCAGTATCAAGCTCTCTTATCAGGGACTTTTCGCATGCGGTCAGTGCCTTGCAAGTCTGCAACATGCTGTGGCCGTCCTCGGCATGCGGTCAGGCCGGACTGTTGATCTGCCACGTTTTGAGCTAGTGCTCCTTGAAAGGGATCTATAAGGAATTCGAAACTGAAGCAAAGGAATGCCTAGCAATGGATTCCTAGCGCCCAATGCAAATCACACACTCGTACCAAGGACATCAACTGCCGATTTGGCGAAGTCGTTCCGCCCAAGATCATCACTTCTGCCTTTCATTGTGTTGAAAGTTGTCCTTTCGGAGAACCGCGGCTTCAGGAACAGCAACTCCGTTTTTGAACTGCACTCCCTGAAAGTCCCTTCGGTAATGGAAACCCTCTACGAAAGAAGCACCGGAGCCATCGCAGCCTCGTGGCCGCAGCAGTCGCAGGCTGCACGCGTAATAACGCTCGAGCCAGGGAGCTGCACAAAATTACATCACCCAGCAGTGATGACCAAATGTGCACTGACCATTGACGGTGACCAGCATAGCAGCATAGCTGGACTCAAAAATCACTATGCCGGAGGAGTGCAAATCAACAAAGCACACAAAACGGCTACGATGCCACAACGACAGTGACAGCAACCCGCCGACTGACAACGACAACAACAGCAACAACAACAACAACAACAACAACAACAACAACAACATCGTCATCATTGTCATCATATGATGATCATCATCATCTCATAACCATGGTGATGAAAGTTTCAAACAGTATCCTCCACACCACAACACGCAATTACACAACTACGCGTCACAAGACATGAAACCATCCACTCGCGAATCCCAAACCGCAGTCCCACACCCCAAAGCACAAGAACACAAAACAGTAAACTTGCCCTAAACCCCGCGTCGAAGACCCTCTGAATCCCTAAACCCTGAAACCCAAATCCCAAGAGCAGGGTTTAGGGTTTAGCGGTTTTGGGTTAAGGGGTTCAGGGTTTAGGGGTTTAGGGTTTAGAGTTCAAGAGCCCGACACCACCCCTATTATAACCGTGACGCCTCCTGGTCCTCTCGCGCATTCTGCAGCTGCGTCAGACCTCGAAGGCGCCCCGGGAGACATCCCGATAATACTGCCCTACATATTACTATCATTATTGTTAATTGCATCATAATCGTTATTTTTTGATATTGTTGATAGCATTGTAGTTATAATCGCGATGTTTTGGATAAAAAAAGCATTGTTATTGCTAGTGTTCTACTTGTGTTGCATTATTGGAACTGCCATGATAACAAGCCTCGGAGGAGGCCACCGAGCAGACCGCGACGACAACGAGATTGCTGCGCAAACGAGCGAAAAAGCATAGCAGAAGCCAAGAGTAATAGTAATAATAACAACAATAACAGTAACAGTAATAATAATGATCACGATAGCGGGGCTGCGCACCATCACTGACCAAGGCATGCTTTCACTCTCAACTAGTCCGAACCCATTACCATACTGGTCTGCCAATACATGTGCAGGAGTGTAGGCATGATGCTGGTTGTGGTGGTGGTGGTGCTGCTGCAGCGTGGTATATGGTCATGGAAGTGATCGACATGATGCAGACGGCAAATGCGAGTATGGGTTTTGATGACAGCACGCATCTTGATCTGGAATCCTGAAACCTGCAATCCGGTGAGGATTCTAGATCGCATCGTCTTCATGCCGCCGAGCCCACGAACCCTAAAATCGCTGGAAAGCATCAAAGCGGTTAGTAGCTAGCCTGAGGAAGCGTCCGTCCCGAACCTTCGGGATAACGAGGACGTGCACGGGCGCCTCCACCAGGCCAAAAGTGAGGGCTGAAAGAGGGGTCGCGAGATTATGGACTCAAGGACAGATCGTCACTCTTTCCTTCTTTCCGCTCTGTCCAGCTCTCTTCTTCTTTAAAGACCTTCTCTCTCTCTCTCGTGAGTGCTCTCTGCTCTCTCTCTCTCTCTCCGCTGGTCTTCTTGGATGTACCGCAATAGCTACGGGCATCCAACCGGAAACAAGTAACAAGCTTAACGCTGGATTCGGTGCTTTCGTTCATGTGTCGCAGGCTTGCAAACACCCGAACCGACAAAACTGCAGAAGTAGGATCACACCATTACACTTCCTAAACTTAAACCCGAAATCTCTGAACCCCGAGGGTCAGGACTTCACTAATCAAGGGTGTTGGGGGACCAGCGTGGCACAGGCAAGGCAAAAAGGCAAGCACCCTCGAGCATTGGGTCGTCTGCGAGCCGACTCCCAGCCAAAGACCCTGTGAAACTCTGAGCAATGATGACGCTTTGCAGGTTTACGATGTAGTGATACCAATACTATAGTAATCAGAGCAATTACACGAGAAATAAGAGTAACAAGTTAATAGTCGTACCAGCAATAGTACACACAACACTAGTAGCTTTGGGGCAACAAATCAACCTCGAGGCCTTAGGCTCCCGCCTGCGGGCTCACGTCCCTGAAGGCCAGGGCGCGGTCATCCTGCCCGGATGGCATTATCATGACCATCAATGATCGTTGTCATGCTGAACTACTACTTCTATTTCGACTACTACTACTTCTACTACTTCTACTACTACTACTACTACTACCACCACTACCACTACCACTACCACCACCACTACCACTTCCACTTCCACCTCCACTTCCACTACCACTACCACTACCACTACCCATTATCTAACACTACTACTACCACCACCACCACCACCACCACCACCACCACTACCACTACCACTACCACTACCACTTCCACTTCCACTTCCACTTCCACTTCCACTTCCACTTCCACTTCCACTTCCACTTCCACTTCCACTTCCACCACTACCACTACCACTACCCATTACCTACTACTACTACTACTACTACTACTACTACTACTACTACTACTACAGTACTAGCTACTACCTACTACTTATTACTACTTCCTACTACTACTAGTACTACTACTACTACTACTACTCCTGCTGCTACCACTACCACTACCGCTACTACCACTGCCGTGACTGCTGCTGCTGCTGCCGCTGCTTGTTGCCAGGACAGTACAAATCATACTCTTCCTCATCTTCATCACCTTGATCAGTATGAGTACAACTTGCTTCAAGCAACTTGATTAATTTGCGGTTGCATAGACTCCCTACGGCGGTGCGGCTGTTAGTAGGCTTGCCCAAGGCCCGCAGAACCATCCCGTCACGAACACTCTGGGCCAGAGTCATGGCAAAAATACCATTAAAGGTTTAGGGATTAGGGTTTAGGGTGCACGATATATGGAAGTAGCAACTACCAGCGCTAGAGGAACAGCATGCACCTCTAAAGCCACAACAGCAGAAAATAATAGCACCAAGAGATACAACGACTACAGCAACAAGCAAAGCAAGCACGACATAACAGATCTTCTTTCTAGCCATGACTCCAGGATACCAGAGCGAGGCCTGATATAGCGGCATTAGTAGTTGGAATGGGTTTGGAGATCTGTACAACGCTCTAGACTATAGTTAAACTTATAGTTCTAACTTGGCGTTTCCGAGAAATCATGGAAAATGCTGGTAAAACCAGCAGTTTCCATGAGTTTCGAGAAAAATCTTGAGCCGGAGTCGTAGTTGGAATGCTTTTGGTAGGTTTTCAGGCTTCTATATTTATACTCCCAGCACCTGGCGCTCGAGACCACAAATCAATAAACGCTCGTGTCCTCGAACACGATTTTCGAAGGAATCTCCTCACAGATGATGGTGCGCACAAACAGGGCTTGCAGACTCACGTGCTTGCACTGGCCTGTCAAACCCGCAGCCTGAGACCGCTCAACCTTGTGCAAACCGAGGCCTTTCGAATGATCTTGTCAAAGATCGTCTCGGGTGCTGTGTCCTTAGTCCTGCAGCTCTGGACTGCCCGTGTGTTTTACGCTTTACGCCCTTGGCTTTGGTTCTAGATTGAGTTTTTAGTTGTACAAGGATGTGGGTGTGTGGGAACGTGACAGCAGGCTCAAGTAAATGGGTACATATGTACGTCGTGCCGACATTGACAAGCATGTCGAGCCGGGTGGTCCTCCCCTCGGCAGCCTCCTTGGCGAGCTCCACCTGCCACAGGGGTCAAGCTTGAAGTTTAGGATTTGGAGTTGTGGGGGCCTTGAGGCTCATGGGGCTTAAACCCTAAACCCTAAACCCTAAACCGTCTTAGTATGATGATCCATCCTCCGAGTTTCGAGCTTCCGACTTCCGAAGCAGACCTAGGCGACCCAACTCCATCCGAAAACATGGAAGCCAAGCTTCACAGGGTGTAAAGCAGTATAACGTTTAGGTTTTAGGGCTTCGGGGTTGTATTGCGGTCTTCGAACCATAAGCCTCGACTAAATAGGGTCAAGGCAGTGAAGGCACTTGAAAACCATGAGCTGAAGACGCGACTTCTGGACCCTGCCTGAACCCCAACCGTTCTAAGACCCTATCTACCTGACGCCTAACTAAGGGCTCGAAAGCTAAACCCTGAACCCTGAACCCTAAACCCTAAACCCGAATCACGGAACCTTGGCCTCGTAGGAAGGACAAGCAAGCCCAGTCCCGGGTGTAGAGAAGGGGGGGGGGGGGTAGGATTCAGGGTGTTCCAGCTTCGGGCTTCGAGCCCTACATTTGGGGTTTGAGGGTTTTGGAACTTTGTCGGTTTAGGGGATAGCAGTGATAATATCAGGGTCACGATTTCATTGCTCGCAGATCGAGCTTTCGACGAACCGTCCGTATGGGCGACGCATGCACGTCAAGACTTTGGTGTTTAGAGTTTTGGGGCTTCGGGGCGGCGCCAGCCCCAGGATTTGCAGAAGAAGTCCCAAGTTGTGCAAAACTGGGGCCTCTCTCGTGCACTAACCACCGTTCCGAGTGAACCGCACCTCGTCCTTGGCACAGGCGTCCCCACCACCTGGCTCAGGACAAGGACTTTGGCACGGTGTTTAGGAGCTTGTGGGGTTTTGCTTGCTGAACTCAGGGGGTGGGGCTCACCGAATAGAGTGGACACAGAGCATGGAATCATGGATACTGAAACTTCAGATCTCCCACAGCTGCTTCAGGATGACAACGCGGGGGTTCTGTTTCCGTCTTGGTGCTTGTGCACCGGGTTGCTCTTGTTGAGTTAGGACCATGTAAGAAAAATATGACATCCTTAGCTCCTGCAGCTTGTTCGTAGGATGGTCACCTACATGAACTTAACTTGAGCATGATCTTCAGCTCAAGGAGTAGACGTCCCAAGGAACATCGCAGGTCAGATTATCTGGTGGCCGTTAAATCCTCTGAAAAATATTTATCTAAAGGGCCCAGGTTACAAACCGAAATAAGGAAAATAAAAAATGCCCCAAAAGCCAACCTAGTTATCTAAGTCTCCGGCTCATTGCACCAAGCCCGGGCAAGTCGCTTCCCGGCTACGCGCCCTGCTCTCGAACCGAAACGTCCGAAGCCCACCGCTACTTCTCGGAAGTCTGCCACTGGCTCTCTACATACTCTGGGGCAGGCGCGGAGGGAAAGATTCGCAAGCAAGTCCGGGGAAGAGTTCCATACTGGGCCCCTAGGTCCGGACCTTCAGCATCAGCAAGCCTTCACCGGAAACGAACATGAGGCCAACACTGGCAATCACGATAGTGATGACAAGATGGCCAAAAAAGGAGATGAAACCAAAGCTTCTTGTCGCGGATGACAGTGGGTGTCAGGGTAGTTCGGCAAAAGCAGCAACATGCGTCGTCATCGTGATGGTTGCACTAGGGTCTCTACTGTCGCGGTCGTTGTTGTTGGAGATGGTTGCGGCAGTGAAGCCGGTGCAAAGGAGCACCAAAGGCAGCGGAGGACGGCTCTATTGACTCTATTGCCTGCTATGCAGGCAGGTGGTCAAAGTTAAGCTACGCAAGCTGGCTGCAGGTCACACTTTGCCAGATCAACGACCTAGTTTGGGCATGTCTGCATCAGAAAGCCCAATAATAAAGACTGTTACTGCATACTGTCTACCTTGATTGATCTGCGAAGAAGATTTAGGTGGAATTGCTCGTCAAACTATCATGTCGTCCGCTGCACTTCCTGCCCCTGGCCGTTCTTGCGGTCGTGCATCCCGTCACACCCAATATAAGCAAACCTCGGAAGAATCTCCAGCGGATCTTTCTCGAAACTCGCCAAAGGCCACCTGATGCACACCTGGCCACAGTCATCGAAGCCTGAGGGAAGCAGATCTCCCAGGAAGGGGCACTCGTTTGTTGCAAATCCGGTTTGACTTTCACAAAATTCATCGTGTTGCAATTGCTACCATGACTGGACCTTCGCCGATTTGTCTAGAGAGGTGCCTACAACAAAGGTGGCCAAACTGACTTGAGAGAGGCGTTCCTATCTTAATCATACTCACAATCAGGATTTAAGGTTTCAGGCGTTTGCGGATGTGGGGTTTACGGTTTACGGCGTCTAGCATCAGGGAAGGCGATTCAGAGTTGGGGGTGGAGGAGTGGGCCACGCACTAACCCAGTTGCATGCGATCGAAACGAAGCACTGGGAACCATCGCAGAGAAAGTGCAGCCAAGTTCAACCCTAGATTCCAAAGCCCTACACCCGCAACCTAGTCAACGACCTAAACCCCGAAAAACTCAAATGTCCAAACAACTCTATCTCTATGGACTTCTGAGCTAACACCCTCGCAGAAGCCGAACCCCCGTTCAAAAATTCGACACCCCTACAGAACCCATAGGGAAGTTTTTTCATCAAGCCCGAAAATCTCTGCAAACCCCTCAAAGCCAGACGTCAAGCCCAGGTGCTGCGGAGATGCGCGGCAACAGCGAGGATCCCGTCCATCTGAAATGGACTAGGGCTTTACGGTATCAGGTTTAGGTTTTTGTTCTTATCACCTCTTTTCCTTCGCCTGATAAGGTGTCCGGAATACCATGTTGGTGGAGGCATGATCACGGGAGCCCGGCTTATTTTGCAGGGGATTCTACCACCATCACCACTGATACCCCCCTTACCGGATGCACTTCCAGGCTCCCTATCGAAGCGCCTTCTCCTCTCGAAAACAGGCTTTTAGGGTTGCGGGTAGAGCTACACGAACTCAGAACAAATATGCTGTGATTTGCTCGAATGCCGAATGCTTCTGAACCCTTTTAATAGCTTAGAAGATCTTTTTGAGAAATGCGCCCTGGGCTTGTTGTGGGCTCTTTCTCAGGTGCCCTTCTCCCAGGGATCCCAATACCAAGACTTCGTATTCACAGCAGTTCATTACTTTCGGAAGCTCTGGTATGGGAGACTACAGAGATTAGAAGGTCTTTTCTGCAGGTCTCGAGGCTTCTGTGATGGTCTGCCATTGAAGGACCCGCCTATGCTTCTCAGGCTCTCACAAGTAGCCGGCCGTGGTGAAGGGGGCCAGGACCTGGTGCAAGATCTTGCCAAGCACAGCCCTCCTCTCAGAGGAACCTAGATAATTTAGGGTTTAGGGTTTAGGGGATCAACGTCAAGAGGCCTCTGAAAGAACATGAAAAACGGAGGCTCAGGGACATGGCCATAACCTGTGCGGCATTTCCTCTTCAAGACCCACGGCTTGCCATCCCGAGACAAGCTTCCGCTGTCCCCTCATCCAACTTGCAGTCCTTTACAAGGCAATCATGGCATTGGGAGCAAGAGGCTCTCGTAAAACAGGGCACCCCCAACTGCTGAAGACTGGTCCAACCACCCAGGGCAATGTTGACGTTAATGCAAAACATGTTCTGGCACCAGTACACCGCCACCACAGCTGCCAGCACCAGCTCCCCTCCCCGCACCAACACCAGTAGCAGCGGGAGCAGCAGCAGCAGCAGCAGCAGCAGCAGCAGCAGCAGCAGCAGCAGCAGCTTACACTGTAGGGGCAGGAGCGATTGGAGTAGCCGTAAGAGCAGTAGTAGTCGTCGTCTTTGTCGTCGTAATGGCAGCGAGATGGTAGTTGTAGCAAGAAGAAGCAGCCATAGTTGCTAAGCAGTACGGAACAGCAAACCAAGTGATGATAGAGGTCATAACGGACGGAATCACTCAACAACTACCATGACGTTGAGCCAGGCTGCCAAGGAAGGCACCACGGCTCGAGCTAGAACCTGGCATCGTCCACCAAATTCTTCCATGATGAGGAAGGAAATTTCAAGCCTGGTTCCGAACACGCCTCCCAGAAGGCTGTTTTCCCCACGCTGAACCCTGCCCCATACCGCAGGTAACCCCAGGTTCTCAATCCTGCTTACCCAAGCGATGCAAGGTTCGGGGACTTCGCCCACTAGCTAGAACAAGTCTCGCACCCATGCCATCCGCTACTGCTGCTGCTACTCCTACTCTTACTACTCCTACTCCTACCCCTACTCCTACTCCAACTCCTACTCCTACTCCTACTTCTACTTCAACTTCGTCTTCTTCTACAACTACTACGGCTACGACTACGACTACGACTACGACTACGACTACGACTACGACTACGACTACGACTACGACTACGACTACTCCTACTCCTACTCCTACTCCTACTCCTACTCCTACTCCTACTCCTACTCCTACTCCT